TTCTCCTCTATTAGCCAGAACAGACTTTTTCACTTTTCATTTATCTGGTCATATCTGGGCATCTTCATTCAGCTCGTAACATTCAGAGGGAGCTTCTTTGGTGAGGAGGTCAGAGCTTCGGTACCACAGGTCACAGCACCTCCTCGCCACCCTGTGTGTGTTCTTCTTGCAGTGTTGGTGCTGTTATGTTAGGTGTGAACTCTGGCCCTGTGGAGCATTGGGTAACAAGATTGCCTAACCCTGTTGTTGAGATGATGTCGTAACCCGGCGGACCTGGCCAGCGTTCGGCTGTCATGTGAGACGTTCTTCATCTTCCTCTGCCCAGGAAGTCAGGGCATGAGTGTGTGTCTCATCCTGTGTGTGTGAGAGGAAGGGGGAACGAGGAATCCTAAAAGGTGGCAGCTCTCGGAGGGGGCAGACGTGTCAAAGGTTACGTGTGACTCTAGGTCTGTGGAATTTGGTGTTCCCAGATCGAACACTGGATACTCAGACATGCTCTGCTCACCGTAAACAGAAGCAGGAAATGATAGTGGTTGATTAAAAGAAAAAAAATGGCTGAAATGTGGCTCACAAATTAACCCTTTGAAACAATAATCAAACAACAGGAAGCAGAGATGTGGGGGGGTTTCCCCTCCCTAGCTTTCCTTGCCACGCTGAAGCCTTTCTACGTTATTGAACACATATTTCAGAAAATGTTCACACAAGCAGTACAAATTTTAAGATCTGTTCGATCTTGTTTGCATTTTGGAGATTTTGTAAAGAAGCGAATCTGCCGTCTGTTTTTATCAGCAAACTCCTTTTGCTACGTGATTTCCTCTCTCTGCTTCAACAACACATTTATTTTATTGATTTCTTTTTTAAACATGCTGCTTTTAGGTTTAGTTTTTGTTTTTGCAGACACACACAGACCATGTGGGTGGGTGTGAATGCCAGAGATTTCTTTTCAGTAAGAAGCACTACAGTGTTTTTACTTTTGAGACTTTGTTCGCGACTTCCACAAAACAGGCATGATTGTCAAATTTCTCCGATACTCTAAAAAAGTAGCTCATGATTTTTGTTGTTTTTGTGGATGTTTTGCAGAGATGTTCTCTGTGAACGCTCAGGGAGGTTTGTGTTGGTCGCATTATGGGAAGGATCTCTGGATGAGAGCGTTTCATGTTCAAAAAAAGCTGATCAAACTGGGTTAATTT